GGGCTAGCTTGTTTCTATCACATTCCCTTAGTTATCAAATAGCGAATAGTGATAATGTGGTGATAATAATAGCTAGTGTTTATGGAGAACTTCCCACAAGCCTATGGTACAGTTAATGTTCTACCTATATTGTTCCCTTACAAGAACACTCTAAGGCAGGCAACTTTCATTTTTCTCCATTTAGCAGATGAGAAAATTGAGGAAACAGATTAAATTATTTGCCCAAGGCTAATAACAGGTGAATTCAGGACAGTCAGATTGCAGAGCGTATACACTTATCCCCATTATTATGCCTTTCTGTGCTATAGTGCATGGCAAAGGAGCCTGTGGGATGAACAACGTTAATGTTGCTAGAAAAAATATGGAAGAAATGATCTCTGCCCTTCAGAATTTTCATTCTAGTGGAGGGGGCAAGACCTGGAGGTAGATTGGAGGATAAAATACAGAGAGAGCAGCCATTTATATTTGAATTCCAAATAATCACTGAACTGTTATCAGTATTATTATGTCTCAAATAGTGCATGGGACATAATAATATTAACAGATTTGTTTATTAAAATTTTAATTTGTAAATTGAACATTACATTCCTGATAAAACTATATTAAAAAATATAATATATCCAAATAGTACATTTATCCTAAAAAATACATTTGTTGTGGATCTGAAATTTAAGTTTAACTGATTCTCATGCATTTTTATGTGTGAAATCTGGCTACTCTGCATGGACAGCATTTAGAAAACATGGAAGAGCTTATGCTGGCGCAGTATTTACTACATACTCCTCCTTATCCTCACCCCAGGTTATCTTCTCCCCTCCTTCCTTCTCTTCCTGTATACCTCTTCCTGTTGCCCCCCACCCCAACGCACTCCACCCAGAATACACAGCCTTGCGACGCAGCAGCAAGTCCTAGAGGGATGGCACACTCTGTCTAGCAGTCAGCATGAAGACATCTTCCTTTCTGCCCCAGTGCCCAGGCCAGGGGTGTGTCCTGTAACTCCTGAGGTCTCCACTGTCCTCGAGGAACACTCTTCCTCTTGGTGATCCCCAATTGCTCTGCCAACCCTCCACCCCACCTGAGACATACGTTTCACCCAGGTCCCCACCCCGCCCAGTGGTGTGCGCTGGTTTGCATCAGGCTACTTCGTTTTCATTAATATTCACCTAAGTCACAGGGTGGGTGATTGGGGGGGGGGGGTGACGTGAAGGGAATGAGGCAGCAAAGTCTGGCTCCTTCTTTGTCCTGTCTCTGAGATAGTCTTTCACGGGGATCAGGGCGAGCTGTTGGGGTGGGGTGGGCGTGTGCTGCGAGCACACTGGTTAACAGTTGCCGCCTGTGTACTCTCTGGGAAGGGGGTGGTGCACTGGCTATTTTAAGGCCAGACTGGTGAATGCTGGGTTCCCCTTCGTTTACCTAGGCTCTCAGTGTTTTCCCTGGCACACCCCAAAGTGGTCACAGAGTGTGGGAAGCCAGGCAGGGAAAAAATTAATGCTCTGGGATGACGCCCCTGGTAGCTGCTGCTAAGTTCCATGGAAAAGACGGGGGCCGGGGGAGTGGGGGGCTCACTATCTGTGTCTATGGGTGTCTCTGAAAGCTTTAAGCTGTACTGGCATCTACTCAGCTCTAGAGATGGTGGAAACTTGGCTGTAAAGTCAGTCCGAGGCCTGCCTGGTTGCCCCAGCCCCACCCACTCCCATGGAGTGCCGTTGCCCACACTGAATGCCCCTTTATCGTCAGTGAGCGATACTGACTTTTCAAAAATACTGTGTAGGCCTTGTGTCCCAGATGCCTGTGGCATGCAGCCTCTGCTGCCCTTTCAAGGGTGTTGGCTTCAAAACCCACCCAGAAACCTGAGAAAAATGTCTCCACTTGGCATCTCAGGAGGCTGACTCCAACTGACTTCTGTTTCTTAGCCCGCTGGCCACAAGCTACCTAGTGGACGGTTATTATAAGGGAAGGAAACAACTTCAATACTAGGAATTATGCAGGAAACACATCACAGTTATTTAAAAGTTTCACACAGAGCATTCCTTGCATCACTTAGACTCACACGGTAAAGATTTAGTTCATCGCCTTCCATGAGCTGTATGCAGACTGGCTTTCCAGGAAAGTTCCCGTTGGCTGTCCGCAGGCTTGGCTCTCCTGGTTAGCACTGTTCCACTAGAGCCAACAGTGGAAACTGAGTCTAAATGTAGGTGTGAAGTTGGGTGTGTGTTTAGGTAGTGGTCCTTCCCATGGGGCAAACCCTTGTTAATGCCGATTGGACCAGACATTGGGTCACCGCAGCACCATGTAGTAGAAGTCATTGGACCTACTTTACGGGTGCCAGATTAAGTGCCAGCTTGACTATGGCCACCAGATAAGCTCAGATTGAATGGGATCTGTTGGCTGGAAGAGCACTTGTATCTGAACTGGCCAGGAGATAGAGACTGTTAAACATGGTCTCTAGTTGACTCACAATGGACTTCAAGACGTCACACACAAATCACTTGAGACTATTGAGAGTTGAGTACAGAGGGTCCCTGAGACAATTCTTCATGTGAACCTTTGTTCCCATAAAGCTAATGTCTAGTATACAAGCTCTGAGTGTTGCCTTCTAAATTCCTAGTTGGAAGTGAGTGCTGGGAAAGTACTCAGAGTCTCTAGTATTTGACCAAGTCTATGCCAAGTCATAATCCCAATTTCTATTGATGGTTAGCTTCCCTTACGATCCCAGTTCCCATTACTTCTCCTTTCAATCAACACGTCCTGCCCTCAGTTGATATTATTGCTTCTATTTGTGACTGCTGGCTTGTCTGGATTTTGAAAAGTCCCCATAGCATCTATAAGTGAAAAGATCCACAGGCATTGGCCTTTGTCCACATTCATTATTAACACGTTATGATTTTTAATTAAGTTCTTGAAGACCAGAAGACCACAGCCTCCTCACTATAGACAGACCTTCCCCTTACATGGGAGACAGCAGTTAATGAAGCACAAATATCTAGAAAAAATATCATACTCCAGTTCTTACCCCAGCACCCTGAAAAGTGAAAAGAAGAGGCAGTGTTTTCAGGGCCCGTCTGGGTCTTGGTATCCCAACCCCCAGACTTGCCCATCGTTGCTCATCAGATAATTTTCCCTCCCCCTGTAAACATTTTATCTAGCATTAAACCTATTTTGGGGACAAGTTGCTGTTATTCCTTTTTGACTAATTATCTTTTCTCCAAAATCTGATGCCTATATTCTTTCTATTATGCAGCAAATGACATTCATTCCATAAATCTCTAAAGTACTTACTATGGGTAATCCTCTATGCTTGGTGCTCTGAAGGGCATGGATGAGGTCAAATGCAAACAAGGGACACTTGATGACCATGCCTAGAACTAGCTGGCAATGGCAAGTCAACAAACAGATTGTACAGGCATGATACTGACAATGTATTATACGTGTGTTTTTGCCAACGTATTCAGATCGGCTAAAACTCATAGAAACGAATTAGAAAAATGCAGTCACTTTTTCACTCTCAGATTTATTTAACATATATTTTTTTGAAGGTTTTTAATGTCCAAACCTCTCAGTTAAGTACTAAGAGGAAAATAGTTAAATTTCCTGCCTTCAAGGAGCTCACAATTAGGCCATTAAGAGAGACTGTGAGTAGCTCTTGTTTATTATTTTTATTGTGAAATATAAAGATGGAGTCTGTTATTTGCTAGAAAATTTATGATTTGTGAAATGCAACCACACCAATGCAGGTTCAAGTGGACAACACTCTACCATAGCCATCCTTAGATTAAAAATTGAAAAAATTTAAAGAGGGAAGAAAGGTTGACATGAAAGTGAATTTTTGAAAAGCCTTTCTCTGTGTTGAAGTCTTCACTTGACAAGATATGTTGCATGTTCAGGAAGAAAGGCTGTTACAGAGTACAGTTCATCAGGGGAACCCTCACAGGTGGCTTTGATTCAACACAGCTTTTGGAGAAATTGAAGGTCACAGAGAGACAGGCCTCCAGGAAGGGAAAGCCTTGAGCAGAATGTAGAGGGGGAGTGAGGAAGTTGGCATGGTGGTGGGTGGTGTGAACAGGGAATAGAAAAAGATTCACTTAACATGATGGAAAAAGCAAAGCTGTGTGATAAGAAAGGAAAAAATAAAAAAGAGGTAAGTGTAGGATTTGAGTGTTTGCTAGGATGAGGATTTTTTAAAAAAATTATTAATTTAATCCTTTTTAGAGGGGAAGGGAGGGAGAGAAGGAGATAAATATCAATGTGCGAGGGAAACATGGATTGGTTGCTTCTTATATGCCTCTGACCAGGGACTGAACCTGCCACCCAGGCACATGCCCTGACCAGTAATTGAACCTGCCACCTTTTACTTTGCAGGATGATGCCAGCCAACTGAGCCACACTTGTCAGGGAAGGATGAGAATTTTTTTTTAATTAAATCAAATTTTCCTGGAGGTCCATCAGATTTCAACGCCAGGATCTTTCCTTTGCAAATGCATTGTGCATGCTTTAAAAGGGGGAGTCAGAAAATCTACCAGATAAACAGGGGGTCAACATGGAGAGTCCATTTACACATTTTACATGGAAACAAATGAGAAAAATATTTTAGCAGAGAAAATAAAATGTGCATGAATGTTAAAGATAAAAGTAGGAGGTGGAAAGAAAGTTCATATTTTCAGCTGGCCACTCCCAGACCCCCAGAAATCTTTTTTTCTACTTCCCTCTATTTTTAGCATCAATTTCATTAAAAGCTTTGAGGAATACTGCCCTCCATCCATCACCAGCATTCACCTCTCAGTTTGTCCACTTAACATAAAACATGCCATGAAAAACATTTCTACCTTCAAAACAGCATGGTATCAAAACACCTAAAGCAAACACTGCTAGAATATGCAAGAACAATTTGGGCAAAAAATACACTTGTAAACTCAAACAAGCACAAAACCACAAAAGAAAACCAGCAAAGGGAGAAACTTCTGTTGAGCTCTTCTTGAACATGCCTTTTCTTCCTTTTTTAGGTAGGAGTGGTTGTACTCTTGGATATCTCCAAGAGCGGCTTCAAGAGTCGACTACACCAGTAGTGCCTACAGCTGGGAAGTTTATGCCAGTGGAAGAATCTGTAGTGTCTCACAGATTATGCGGCTACGGTATGTACCTACTTCCTGGAACAGAACAAAATGGCAGCCCTTTTTCCCTCCATGAAAGACTTCATAGGAGAAAGTAGGTTTCCTATTCGACTGCCATCCATTTCATGACCTTGCCCTTTTTCAGTCCTTTCTTTTGAAAAGATGCAGACATAGAGCCACTACTTCAAGGATTCAATGAGAGACAGACGGTTACCTCAGTAGAGTAATGTTGCTGTTATTAATAATTTTAAGGATAACAAAAATAACATTTGATGCTTACGGAATAGTAACTGTATGTTATGCACTATTCTAGTGGTTCTCGGCCAGGGGTGAGTTTGCCTCACTGGGGACATTTGGACATGCCTGGAAGCATTTTTGAGTGTTGCTCTGGAGGGGTCGTGGCATGTGGGTGCTGGTGCTACTGGCATCTTGTGAGCAGAAGCCAGAGATGCTGCTAAAATTCCTCTAACACATAGTATGGACCCCCACAACAAAGACTTATCCCCCGTGAAATGTCAGTAGACTGAGGTTTTTATACACACTTAACCTCCCAAAATAACCCTATGAGGCACATATTATTGTCCCCACTTTACAGATGAGAACATTTAAGCTTAAAGTAATTAGTTCAAACTGTTTTGACCTTTGGATACTCTCAGGTTTCTTCCTTGAGATCTATTTGGTTCTGTGATAATTGCAGACAATTTAGGTTTCTTCAATGGCCAGGAATAAGTTCCCTCAAATGTCAGCATGAAAGTCATTCAGCTCAAGCTGGCCCGACCCCCACCCCATTCGGGGATGAGGCTGGCTCACTAACAGCTGGTGACTGGGACAGGGGGAAGAAGATATTATATAATGTCTGCAAAAGTAACGAAAACTTGACTTAACTGCTATGATAAGCAAACAGTAAGATAGCACATGAGAATCCACAGTGATTTAAAAATATGTTTTCTAAGCATAGAGTCCAGACGGTTCCCTCACATCCTCTGTTCCTTATTCCTAACCTCTGATAGTGGTGCGCCGTGTGCTGTTGAGAAAACAGAGGACCCGATGCCATGGGACTCAGACAAGAGTGGCAATCTCTATTCTGCAACCTTATACAGAATTAGGTCATTGAATTCCAAAAGCGTTGGGTCCTCAGGAAGACAACTTCTGTTTTTCTTTTTTCCTTTTTGATAAATGCCAAGCCCTTGTCAAAATATTTATGACTAGACAGAGGAAAATCAGATGTTTTCTTTTGAATCATTTCTCTGGATTTGGCCTGGACGTTTTGACCAGTTCTTTTCTTTCCTTTGCTCTTTTTTCCTTCCTCCTCTCCATTTTTCCCCAACTTTTTTTACTATTCTCTCTAATTCCATCTTTTCCTTTCTCCTTATAGTATTTCTCATTGCCCATATGCAACGTTAAGGAAAGGAAGGGAGGAGAATTGCTTAAATAATGAAGACTGACCATCCAATGGAGAAGTTGGTATGGCTGGGCCAATGATGGCAAAGGTTGTTTGGCGGCACCAACTTTGAAGCCTTTTGAAGATAAATGAAAACTCCCTGAAAGGCTGGACGCCATAGGTACAAATTCAAATAATGGTTTTCATAGGTACAACAATTTTCAAAAACTTTTTGCTCTAACCAGCTGTCTGCTTTGTCCAACCACTGATGTGTATTTATATATTATTGCTGTTATTTCAATTAACTAAATTCAATGAAACTCAAAATACAATTTAACAAACATTTGTGTAAATGTCTATTATGTGACAAGATGAGTATGAAGTCACTAACCTCTGCCCTGGAGAAACTTAACATTTTGGTGGGGAAATGAGTAAATGTACATCCAACTGTCGTTTAGGTAGATGTATTAGTTATCTATTACTGCATAACAAATTGTACCAAAATTTAGCAGCTTAAGATAATTCACATGTACCTTTGCACAGTTTCTGTAAGTCAGGAGTCTGGGCATGGCTTACCTGGGTCTTCTGCTTTTCATTTTTTCACAAGACTAATCAAAGTGTTGGTCTAGACTCTGGTGGTGATATCTGGAGCCTCAGCTTGAGAAAGGTTCACTTCTAAGCTCACCCACGTGGTTGTTGGAGGGATTCATTTCCTTGACGGTGGTTGGACTGAGGGTCTCGGCTCCTCACCAGCTGTTGGCTGAAGGCCACCCTTACCTCCTTGCCACAAGGGTTGCTCCAACAGAGCAGCTTGCCAACAGAGTGCAAGCTGAGGAGGCCATGGTCTGATGACAAAACCAAAGTCACTATCTTACATAAACTAATTTTGGAGGTGACAGTGCATCACTTTTGTATATTATGTTGATTAGAATTGAGTCGTTAGGTCCAGCCCAAACTCAGAAAGAGAGGACAATGGCTTGAATACTGGAGTGGGGGGTGGGAGGGATCACTGTGTCAGGAGCTGAGTACCACATAAATGTTAAAGGTCATGATTCCACCCAAGCAGGGAGTGGTGTGAGAAATCTTATCTTTAAAAGGAGGTATCTTCTGACTATATGGATATCAAACAGTTCTAGAAGATTTTGACATCTACCTGTGATTTGTAGAATAATCCTAGACTTGCAGAATTTATCATTGGAAGTATGGGAGCTCACTGAAGATACTATATCCCTAATCATAAAGAAATATGGACCCATGGCAGGTCTCCAAAGTCATATTTATGGTTGTTCTATTCAGTATGTGTCCCAAGGAAATTTTTGTAGTCAACCGGTTATGTATCTGTTCATTTGCTCACTCATTTTATGGATCAGTAATACTAGCTAGTGAAACTCAAAGAGGAATTACTTTTGAGAAACTAGATAATGAAACTCAAAAATGACTAAGATTCACTGTTCAGGGCCTCTACTCAGTTTAGGCCAAGGGTCAGTGAGGTATGTCCTTTGGGTTAAATCTGCCCTTCCCTTGTCTGTTTTTGTATAGCTCATGAGATAAGAATGGTCTCTACATTTTTTAATGTTTGAAAAAATAAACAAAAGAAAAATATTTTGTGATACATGAAAATGATATGAAATTTAAATTTCAGTGCCTCTAAAACTATACTAGGACATACCCATGCCCACTGATTCATGCTTGTCCGTGGCTCATTCTGTTACCGCAGCAATGTTGAGGAGATGCTGCAGACACCACATGGTACACAAAGCCTAATATATTTACTGCCTGGACCTTTAAAAGGAAATGTGCCCACCCCTGGTCTACAGGAAGATTGACGTGCAAACAAATAATTACTGCATCATGATACGTGATATACTTGACTTACAGATTAAGGTCATCAGAAGCACAGAGGTGGGAGTTCTGTTCATAACTGTTTCTGGTTGGTCAGTGAAGGCTTTTTGGAGTTCTCATTGAGGAAAGCAGAGGCTTTCCTGAAATGAGATGTGTCAAAGGAAAACTTTTTTATGGCACTTGTTGAAGATGGTAAGGACGACTTATTTAAGACAGGCTACTGCAATGATGTTTTATGTTTGGGGTTGGTGAGAAATTGGGCTCAGCTTTGAATATAACAAGGACTACTAGAAATTTATAGCCAAGAGGCAGGATGGCAGGGTCATGTGGTAGAAACATCAAAGGTAGGGGGATTTTGGCTAAACCAGCTTGATGGGATTTTTGCAGAATGTTGGTCAGGGTGATAAGATATCCAGGGTGTGAAATAAAGAATTTGATCAGCTATCAAGGGTGAGGAAGTTTTGCAAAACTGATCCAGCAGGATTCTTGCTAAAATTAAACTGGCCCAAAAACAGAGCCCAAGGTGGGACCTAGTCAGAAACAAGAACCTGACTCAAGTTCAAAGGAGAGGATCTTTGAGTCTTTGTCAGAGGAGATAAAACAGGTCCTTCAATTGGTGGCCATGGACTTTTCAGAGGGTTCACATACTCCCTGAAATTGTTTGCCAAAACCTGTGTTAATATGCATATGTGCATTTTTTCCCCTATGAAAGGGGTATAGCCCTTTCAACAGGTTTTCAACAGTTTAAGAATCACTATTGTGGGCAGACATGGCAGCCCGTGGAAAGCCACAAAGGTGTAAAAGAAAACAGCACACTGATAGAGGTCAATGGTGAAAATACAAAAAAGGTTCCTAGGGGGTAAGGATGGAGATGAGGCTTAAACAAATGTCACCCACCATCAGAGGGATAACCCAGGACCTAGGCAGAGCAGGGGTCTGAGGCTGACTCAATATAGTTTAAAGCACTAATCTGTATAGAGATATTGAATAAAACCAAGTTAAATATATTTGGTCTTTGCTCTCAAGTGGCCACTCCATCAAAAGCAGGTGATGGATGGGCAAGAACTCAGCCACCCTACAGAGAGGTTATGGGTTGCCAAAGCTAGAGGAGTTGGCCAGATGTCTATTTCCTTCATTAATCCTCGATCAAATCCTATCCCCCATCCCCCTCCAAACCAAAGCAACATTGACTAAATCTGCTTCTGGTCCTAAGAAATTCTGGCCAAACAGCAAGAGGTCGGCACGAGACCCAGCTTCCTCCTCAAGGGTCTTTATACTTGGTTGTACTGTGGGCATGGAGAATGACTTAGAACCCCCCAGTACTGGGAGGGAAGAGTTCCCAGGACGGAGGAGCACAGGGCCTCTGGACATGAGGTGTGTGGGGAAGGGGTAATGGTTTTCACTGAATTCCTTTTTATATTTTATTTAGATTAAGTTCTGCTCAGCAGGGTGATTTCTTAATTAGAGCCGCCCAGCCAGGCAGACCTCCAGCTCAGGCCCCTGTGCTGCCTTCTAAGGTTTCATGAAGGACCCTGTCCCGCCTTATTTCCTGAGTTCTAATATTTGAATAGTATGTAGTGGATTTCAATGGAGGAAAAGACATGTAATTTAATCATCTTTATTAGATTTTGCCTGTCGATGGGGAGAGGGGAAGGAAGGAGGAGGGACATGTGTCCTCTCTTTGTTAATTTTTGTTTTCCTTTTTCTCTACCTTTCTTCCAGTGGTCAAAGAAGGAAGAGACTCAGTGGTCTTTTCTTTTTCTTTCATTTTTCAAACAAAGAAGCTAAATGAGACCATTAAGCCCAGAGGAGAATGAGTTCCTTGCAGAACTTCTCAAGGCTTGGTGGAGAGATTTACGTAAACAAACTCTTCGGTTCCTCCTTTGGTAGCCTTGACCCCAAGAGTGGACATGGTGGTGACCGCACGGCTTTCTGTCCTCTCCGTCACCACAGAAGGCGCAGCTGTGCTCAGCAAGACCTCGTGAACTGGAGGAAAATTAAGAGAGAAATGCTCCATGGTGTATTCTCATACCTGTCATAAATTGGCCTCATTAGGGGCCACCGTCCAGGGGAGAAAACCCAGCATCTGGAAGCAGAGAGAAGATTAGATGCTGAGGGAAGGAAGGCAGGTTTGTCATGTTGCTGTCCTCAGAATGGGACAGGGAAATGGCAGGGCTTAACAAGAGCAATGGACAGCAGGGGCTCTTTTAGGGGAAATAAATCTATTGGAGTTTTCCAAGAGAGAATTCAGCATGGCACATTCATTGAAAAAGTAACAGAAAAAAAGTTGTGTCCAGAACTCTCCCAATTGTCCTTCTAGACACAATAACCCCCAAACCTCCTTGCTTTCAGCTTTCTATACCAATGGGCACATTAGATGATGTTTTGTGTCCTTTTATTTATATTCTATTACCCCACTCCAACCCCAACACACACACACACACACACACACACACACACCCCGTGCAGCCTCTAATCCTCCCTACTGCCCCTATCCTGTTGATCTTTCTTCACTTAAAAATTATCAGCAAAGAATTTATTCATTTGGGAGAATTCCAGGCACTACATTTATGTTCAGTTCAAATGAAATGGGATCCAGACTTTTCAAACCGTGCTGCTTTGCAGATAAAACACAAAGGCAGGACCTCATTACCTGGAGACCGGGCCCTTTCTCTTGCCTCCCGCCTTTTGTTTCTAGGCAATTTTAAGCTTGTTTGGAAAGTCTCATAACGGGGACAGAACTTTTTTTTTTTTACCATGTCTATTTCAGGAGGGTTTTGAGTTAAGAATAATGAATATATCTCCAGACAGATGGAAGAGTTTTACTAAAGCTAGAAAAGACACTTTTCCTAATAACCTCTATAGGCTGATCCTAATCCTCTCATTGTTAAAAATGGTCTACAAGATTCTTATTTAGGTGCCAAATGTCTTTATGAAATCATTATATTAACACACACACAAAATTCTATTACAATGAGTTTCTCTGTAAGATCAAAAGTTCTTTATGGTCCTACTGATAAAAAGGTGAAATTCCAGGAAAGCCAAAAGTTTGGCCAAGTTTTTCAAAATTTACTGCACTATAACCAGAGGGTTTACTAGGTCCAAGCCAGGAAAAGGCCTAAGTTTTATCAAAGCAGTAGTCCCTAACAAAAATAAAATTGTGCAAAATAGAAATAAGTTGTTGGCAACATTGTAATATGATGTGACCTGTAGAAAAAAACACAATGGGCTTCTGTCTGATACCCACTTCGATTTTAAAAACTCAAGCGGCAAATTCAAAAACAAACTGCACCAGCAAATCCAAGCTTTGCAGGCTGTGAAAAGAGCTTAAAAGTGAAGAGAAGCAAAGTCTGGTATGACTGTATATCAGATTTTGAAAGTAAACCAAAAAAATTTTTTTCGAATGCAAAATTAACGCAGATTTGTTAAAGGGGAAAATTTTTCTCATAAGGATATGTGTTTTGGGTCCCAGACTTGATTTTGCCTTCATGAGGAGCTCAGTGGTAAAAGCTCAGTGTTGGGCTGTAGCTAGAATCGTATGGGGCCCAATGGATACTAGGGGAACCTAAAAAGAGAAGAAGACACCAAACTTGGAGCATCTAAGGACGATGGCCTGTTAAGGGGACTTGGAGGGCTAGCCTGACCAAGTCAGGAAAGTCAACAGGAGGGTCTAGGGGAAGCGGTGGACACAGTGAGACCGTGCGTGACTGAGATCTTAGGCAGCAACAAGAGGCTGCAGCAGAGGTGGAAAGGATGTGGCTGATGTTAAAGAGAGACGGGGGAGCCTGCAAAGGGCTTGGCCCTAGAGATATACTTAAAATCCTTTAGCCTTTCCAAGATTATTAACCCAAATTACCTTTCTTGCTTATTCCAGATGCCTTAGTATCTCGTATTATCACTAAGGACCTGCCATGTTAAAAATAAACATTTGGGAAGCAAGGGTGATTTTTCTCTTTTCTTTTTAATTGCGATGTTGATGTACTCATGGCCTGACATGACATGAGGTCTGGCTTAGATTAGCCCCTGGCTGAGCGACCCACGCTAATTTAGTGACTGCAATTATGCCTGCCTCTAACCGTGGCCTGTTCTTTGTGGGACGTGCCCTTTGAGCTGTTTTTCTCCAATAGAAGCAGTGGGAATGTTGAGCCATCTATACCTTCTTGCTCCAGGCCTCTTATGACACACACTGGGGAGACAACTGGCCAGGATTAGGGGTATGATCTGTGACCCTGAAACAAAGTAAATTTAATTGGCAATGAGGGGGTTGATTCAATGAAAATCGTAAGCACCGTAAGTACCCTAATAAAAGACCCCAACCCCCACAGGTGTGCACCTGCCTCCCAGCCATAAAGATTCTTCCAATAAAAGAAGCAAAACGGAACAAAGGTAACCAACAAACTTTTCCTAATACCAGTGCCTTTGCTTGGGGTCTCACCCAACCACAGGCTGCAGGCAATGGGGAGCATGTCAGCTGAGAAGGGAGAAAGATCATCCGCCTTTGCTTTCTGCCTGCAGAGGTTGGAGAAAACAAGCTAGAAACCTAGTGCTGGCAAAACCAGTGAGAGTCGGGGTCGGGGGTTGCCCCTGCTGCTCAATCACAAAGCTGCAGAACGCCAAGTGTGGGCTTTACATGAGACCCCAGGGAAAGAGAGACACAGTACATTAAAAACAAACAAATTCTAAGGTAGTTTAAAAATGTACGTTAAAGAGCCCTTTCTCCCAGCACACCTGATTTATTAGGAATCATTACTATTATTTACTAATAGAAAGAAGAATATGCTACATCCTCTCCTTGCAACTACACCCATGCTTCTAGGTTCACAAATGATACCAGGAAAGGGAAAGCGGTGCGGAGTGAGGCGTTGAAAGCTCACTACTACTAAGCCCTGGCTCACTCTTCCTGAGATGGTGAACTTGGCTGTGAAGCCACAGGAGGCTGGAGGAGTAGGAGTTGGGGGCAGGAAGAGGAGGAAGTGAGCAAGGGGGCGTGCCTGGGACGGCTCCAGGACAGTAACCGATTCCTTCACTGGGGGCAGGTGGACGTCTCCAGGGTCATTATCGGGCAGCCTGGGAAGGCGAGGGACGAAAGAGATTTCCGGAAGTCTCCCGCTCTCCCTCCTGCCTGCTTCCCTCCTTCTCGAGAGGTTGACTGCAAGGAGCGGCAGGAAGGAAGGATGTATCAAACCCAAAGAAGAAAGAACCCCTGCCACTTGCCCCCACGACACCGACTGCACTGCAGCCACATTGTGGCAGCGGCTGGTGGCAGATTAACAGCCGCCAGAGCAGGAGGCGAATCAGATTCCGAAGGGGCTGTTTTCTTTAGCCCTGAGAGCCCACTGTAGGCACAGGTTCCATATCAAAGGAAACGGGATCACGTCTTTGCACTCTCACAACAGGCCCTGGACTGGGGGTGGGGGGTGGGAAGCGGTGCGTTCAAGCCCCCAAAGTTATCAAGCAAGGGCTGAGTTTCTGGAGCTCGTTTCTGTGGCGCTTCTGCTCAGTGAATGTGCAAATGAAAATACAGTCAGAATCCCTGGGCCATAATTAGTCGCAGGGAGAGCTGAGCAACGGGGTTATCTTCTCGGCCTTAGAGTGTACCTTTCCTTTTATTCTGCTTGCATTTCACCTGGGGGGAGGGCAGGTCTTCACTAGCCTTAAAATGAGTTTTCACCCTCAGAACACAGGATGTGAAGGCTTGGGGGAACATGCCAGGAACAAGCATCAGAGCTTTTTGGGGATAAACTAATGGCCTCCAAATTTACACATAATCCAGGGACAGCAGTGGCTGCATGCTTTTTATTTCTAGCTCCTTCATCTACCTGAACAAACCTTACAGGGCAGTCAAGTACTTTGATCCTGAATTTTTAGGTGGACCGAGAGGCCCAGCCAGGGCAATTGGTGTTCCCTCAATACTTGGGATGCAAAGGGATCACTAGGTGGTAGGAATACCTATCTGTTTCTAGATGTCCTTGCCCTTGTCCTTGTCCTGAGAAAGGAGTGTGAGAGAATGGGTTGGAATCAGTTATTTCTGACGTTCTCTTCTATTCCCAGTTGATAATGTTTTCTCAGCCCCCAGATCTCACCAAGAGCACATGCGGCTTGTTATCAGCTGTCTGGGAGCCTCTCTTTTTCTGAGTTTTTTTGTATCTGCTGTTTCCCATGAAGCTGTTACTATCATTGCTCTCCCTCTTATATTTTCTGTGCAAAGGCTGAGGAGCTTTCAAGAACTGGCAGCCACCAGAAAGGTACAAAAAAGACATAGGGATCTTCCGTTTGCTCTCTTTGGGGTGTTTTGTTGCTATACAGCCTCTTTTCTTTGCCATGGAACCCTAATGCAAATTTGGGCAGAGATGAGGGGGGCTTTTGTCAGTGATGAGGGGACAGCTCTCTGAGGTGGAGGAAATTTGTTTTACGCCTGACTCTATCAGTCTTTTAACTTTTCATTTGTCTACAACTTCCCTGTGAAAGAGCTATTATTTGCTCACACACTCATTCAGTCAACAAACATGCATCCAGCACATGCTTTGAGTGGAACAGAGGTCCGCTTCTGTAAGGATCGCTTCCCTGCCCTGCAGGCCTGGCCAAGCGTTTAAGAGAGTGCTTGTTTGGGAAAGGATGAGCAAGACACAAATCCATCCGAAGAAGGCCTTCTTGCAACTTCTTTCTTCCTCAGCTGGAGGTTGTTCTAGGCCTCCTTTGACACACTGGAAGCTGCAAAGTGTCCTATAGGGGACAGAGGGTGTGAATTTGGAAAATAATAGTAACAGCTCATCGTGGTTCACAGAAACCTTCGTGGAATGAGAGTTAACCTGAGTTAGGCCTGAGCTCAAACCCATGATCCCTCCTTGCTGGATCCTATGACCGGTGCTGGGGACAAAGATTCCTAAGACTGGCCTCCTGGCTGGGCAGCACAGTAGTGCCGTGAAGCCCTGGACACATGACGTGTTTCATTAAAACGTTAGCAACCGCTCACAGTTGTGAGGTCTGCGATGCGCATCCCCAAAGGGTCAGGCTACCAACTGGACGCATGAGAACAGACAAAGTCTTGTTCACTTGCCTCATTCTCCCTGTTAGCTGCTCACCTAGTGTGGTCACCCCATTCACATAATAAAACCAACAGAAATGAAAAACTCATTTTTGAAACCCAGAACACTTATTTTAGGTATCAAGTGTGGTTTCAAAATTTTTGGCTATTTCTATGTCTATGGGTGTTTTCTTGGAGTCAGAATCTGCATTAACACAAACACAAGCACAATGGCACCAAAACCCCACTGCTCCTCCAGTTCCCACCCTCGAGCCATTTATCCTCAGGAGTTCTGGGGTCCACAGTTTTGGGACCCAGGACTGAGTTAACCTTTGAAGGACAAATGTGGCATCTCTTGTTTTCTATGGCTGTTTCAAACCTAAATACCTCTGTCAGTGATTTATGATCTTCGGCGATTGTTTATTTAGTTGCCTCTGCCTTAAAAAGCAAAAGGCAGCTTTTAGGGTCGGCCTCCACGAGCAGCGGCTAGACATCTCCGCAGTGTCAGGCAGTCTTTGGCTTCTGCTGTGACCCAGGCATGATGACCAGGAATGTGACATATGCCCAGCCAGCCGTTCACTGTTCACCGTCCGGAAATGCTGCTCCCTCCGTGATTATGACTCGGGTTCTGGGGGCAGGGCGGCGGCGACAGGATGGAGGTGGGGGTGGAATCAGCAAACCTGGGTTTCTACTCTTCATGTTCAAGCACATCAGGTTTGAGAAAACCCCGCACACTTTGAGCCCCGGGCACTTTTTCCATTCGTTTTTTACATGGATGTCTATGTCAAGGGAAATTTAATACATAGGTTTCTGATTCATTTACACTTAACTCATCAAAATATTGTTCTGTGAGAGGCATTTGGTGTCCAAGAAATCTTAAGAGCTTTTTTATAAGCTTTTAAACTTCTTTTAAATGTTAAGAAACAGAAGTTGCAGTCTCCCCAAAGTAAACATGAGTGAATCCCTGGTGGTGGTGGGGAGGGAGTGTGGGAGGGAGGTAGAGCCAAGGAGCCCAGAGGCATTGACCTCAGTCCCTGAGGGACAGGAACATGGACCCCAGTACTTTTCAGTCCCTCCTGGGGCTCAGCACCTCCCCCACAATCAGGGGAGCCATGGCGGTTCTACCTTTTTGAATGCTGAAGGCAAAGGCAAGCTCTTTGAGGGGTCTTGCTGTTGGCAGAGAAAAGTTCCCAAGTGTTCTAAGAGAAGAATATAAACTCCAAAAATTTCACTTTCAGGCAAGACCCTTTTTTTCCTCCCTTCAAAGAAAGTGCTCATAATGTGTCCTTTCATTTATAATTTTATGAAGGTCTCAATTGAACATGTAAAGAAAGTGGAAAAATTCTAAGTTGCCATGGATGTCTGGCATGTTTCCCATTCTACTAAAATCTACTTTCTCCCCCAAGCAAAATGGTTTCGGAGATTCCAACAAAGGGGTGAGGAGGACAGTAAGGGCAGCTGTCTGGAATCAGAGGCTTCACAAAATACGTTTATATTTTAATCATGGGAGTAGCATCTGCTTAAGTTTTCACCCTATTTCACTTGGCGTCCTCTGTTGAAAGGAAACTCCCTGACATTTCACGATGCCCATAACATACGTAAACGGGCGCTGGTGGGTTTTATCTTGTTTTACCAATGGATCTACCGCATGGTGAGTGTTGTAGAATCGAGCATCTGTTGTTTAGGTTTGCGTGTTTGTTGTGTATTGTTTTTATTTTTCCAGTTTTCTAAAAATGGGGAAAAAATCGAGAATAAAATAAATTATGAGGGATAAAAATTTTTCTCTTTGTTTTTCCTTTCTTCACCCTCATAGTTTCAAGCTATTATGGAAAGCATTCATAATGAGAAAA